TAAACATGAAAACTTTTCTAAAACAGTTTTAATTACATAGTAAGATATGTTCTCAAGCTCTCTAATTAAAATATTTATTCTTGAGAATCGTAAAAACATTGAAGCTTAATATCTTACCTAAAAAAGCATTATTGTAAACAAAAATATCTTATAAAGAATATTGTCTAATGAAAAGCGTGCTAAAATATACATCTAAGATAGCTTTTCATATGAAATAAGAGTCGGCGTGTTCGTAGCGATGGAGCCTTATATGCCGATGATAAGAGCCATTGTGTTGTATTGGTTGAAATTGGTGTTATTGCTTTATGCTGGGGTTATTGGTTGTCGTTGCTCTCATCTAGATTGAATCATATTGCAGGAATAAGGTTTGTTCTTTTTTCTCCCACTCACTATTATTAGATTTAGGATTATTATTCCCTTGTAAAGTTTTGATTTTGATAATTAAATAGTTGAATTCCACCTTTTGTGTTGCATCATGTAGAATAATTTTGTTTTGCATTTTTTATATTGTCTATGACGTAAAACATAAATTAAAATGTTTTGATTCTAATGGATGATTTAATTTATTCTGGCAGAGGATTATTCGATTTGGTCTTTGCCTTCGTGAAACATATATCGACAACAACCATGATGTTTGTTTTTTTTTCTTATAACAATGAAGATCGATAAATGGATATGATGAATCTATAATTTTTGGTTAATGGGATGAGTATTTGATGGTGAATGATGTTGGGATGATTCTTTGTATTTATTTTTCTTCTCAATTTACAATTTGTTCTTTTAAAATTCAAAATTCCATATTATATTCCACGTATTGAGAAAATAGGACAACTTATTAAGTGTTGGTCAACTAGGCAACTCTACCGTTAAAATTTTGACGCCGTAACCAAAAGGATTAATTTAATCTGATTTTTTCACAAGTTGGGACCACATTGAACTTTTAAAAAAGGTAGGACGGACTTGAACATTGCCTCTCTAAAGAGGGACTAGAAGAGGTATTAGCCTAAATTTAAATAATGTACATACCTTTTTATAAATACTTCCCAAAAAGATAAATGAACAAGAGAGGTTGCAATATCAGGAGAGGAAAAGAAAAACAAAAAAACAGAAACGTATATTCTGAAGCTTGGACTGCTGCTTCTTCCACATATTTGGTTTTCATGTGCAAACATTTGAAGGGAGAGGGAGAGCAATAATAATAAAATAAGAGGCAAAGACTTCTATTATTTTTATATGTAATTTTTCTTTTATTTATTACATGTTATTATTTTATTACACAGAATTGAAATGCAAATTTGATTGGTTTGTGAATACATGCTGTAGAAATGGATAAACCATTGAATGTTGATTTTTTTTTCTCTAAAAAGAATTAAATAATAATAATAATAAATAATAATAAAGTTAATTATGTTTAAAATTAATTTATAATTGGAGATTATACCGAAGATTTAAATAAATAAGTTTTATTTATATGCTATTGAATTATTATTTTTTAAAACTTATTTATTGTGAGTAGTTACTGCAAAATAATTTACCTTTATTTTATAACCAAATCATAATAAAATAAAGAATTTATTTTTATATGTATATACATAAATGTTAAGTTTTATTTTATATTATCTTTATGACATATGTTTTACTTTTCTATTTTATGATTGTATATAAATAACAAAATTTTATATTCTTAATTTTTTATGGTTGACATCATAACAATTTTTTTTCTAGGAAACATATGAAATCTAATATTGTAAATAATTAGTAACGTTTCAGATAATGGATACTTGTATCCTTACCTCTCATATCTGAAGGACAATTGAAATTACTTCCCATTTACTTATGATTGATTGTATTCTTTCATTTAGCATTTTTTTCTGCCATCCGAAGATTAGTAGATGAAGAAGATATTCTAAATAAATAATATTATTTCTCTTAATATAAAAAATATGTAATACATTAGGAAGAATTCCTAAATAATGATCAAATTGAGTGAATAAAAATAATTAGTCATTAACTGTAACATCCCAATAAATAGTAATTACCATTAATCAGAACTAATCACATTTACAGGAAAATACAGTGCAGTCTTAATAATTACAACAGCTGCTCCAAAGAAACAGCACGTACAGCAAATTTTTACAGTGTTCAGAATTTTTCTAAGATACCAAACATTCTGGATGAACAATTCTGCAGTACTAAATCAGAACTTCCAAAATACAGCACAAAATCTAACATCTACTACGGAACTAGCCCCTACTGTTCAATTTAACTTCAACTTCTACCAAATTAGCGTCCTCCAAATTTTCTCTTCTAGCATGCTTCAGGGGTGCATCTCCATCTGCTCACATCCACAACGGATGATCATTGCATGACAAGACGAACAAAACAACAACCTACAGTAGACAACACAAGGAAAACTAAGGTAAGCTTAGGTAATTTAATTCAATACAATCAACATATTTTAACATAGCAAATCAATCATACATTTTCATACAACATTAGACATATATCACACATACAGTAACACTCATATTATCATAATTAAAGACTGTCGGACTGTATGATCCTGTATCTACAGGCGTTCTTGCACCCGGTGATGTAGTAACTGGGATACCCTCAACAGCTGCCACCCGAGGTTAACCCTTTTCAGCCCAAAGTACTATGTAGGACTTGCCCTGCCATTCCCACGCATGAACTACTCTCCTCTACATGAGGATGAGCAATCACGGAATATCAGGATGAACATCCATCAGTAGCTTATCCATGGTCATACTACACTACTTCTCATATTCACATCATAGGACGTTCCTCCTTGGAAACCCTCATTCACAATTCATTCCAATCAAATTCATCAAAATGTCATTCCACATTTTTATCCATTCCTCTTTTCAGATTTTCATTCTGTGTTCCACTCTCGTAATTTAAACAAAAGTTATTCATTTAATAGATCCAGATGATTGTATTACAGTACACTGCTATCACGGTTCCTGAACAAAAGAACGCACCATTATTTATTCACGGACGTTGATACAATTAACTAATTTAATTGAATTGAGTCTAAAAGATCCAAATAATACTTAGGAAAATTCTAAGTATAAAGACTTGAGGTTAAATGAAAAGGACCATCACAGTTTTAAATGAATTCAATAAATAATCAGAGCATTAGTAAATTCGGAAACGAACACTGCCAGTCAAAGACCGAACTTAATTAATAAATTGAACAACGCTTGTGAAGTTTCGCTTACAATCGATAAGGACGAGCGTTCCAGTAGAAACTGAACACTGCTTAGGACGAACGCCAGGTCAATGACCGAGCACCAAATAAACGAACGCGCATTTGAAAGAACGTTCGGTATCAGACCGAACGCTAACTAGGACGAACGCTTCAATCTAAGACCAAGAGTTCATTTGGACGAACGCTCATATAAACTAGCGCCACTTATGACGAACGCTGGTAAACAAACCGAGCGTCCTAACATACTTCACTTTATTTTCAATAATTGGACACGCTAGGCTAAGCCGACGCTCACGCCTAACTCTTGACACTAATAACGCTCGTTCTTAATCAGATTCCTTTCCAAATGAAAATCCTCATGCTAAGTGATGTTCCAGGGAAACCGAACGGTATAAGACCGTTCGATAACGAGCGTACAAGATCAATCAGAGAAGATAAGAATTTCAAGATTTTTCACACAGAATATTCACAGTTTTCATATGATTAGAACTTTAAAATTTCATCTTCACCATAAATCTCATACATTACAGAATTCATATTGTCATCTCATAAATCCAGACTCCAATCATATTCCAAATCATATATTACAATGCTGCATAAAATCCAACAATTTCATCATCTCATCAACACCCGAATTATCCTTTTCAAGTGCAGACATATCAGCATCAACATACAGTTTCACATTATCATTCATATACAACTAGTGCCACAGGCTCTTTCATACATACTCAAACATCAAATATTTCATGCATTTCAGACATCCAGTACACTTCATTACTGTCATGAACATCACCAGTATTTAAATTAAAATTACTAAAGCTCCGCTTACCTCTTCCATCCAGACTTGTCCATATCCCACAATTGCTTAAGATTTTCTCTCTATCAATAACAGCTTTCTACCCAATGAATCACTCCACGAATTTTCACTAAATTCTAAGATACCAAAAAAACATAAGATTCAACCTATAACCCATGCATGCACCAGGATTTGGTTTCATGACCTAAAACAGACAAGTGCAGGGACGAGAACTTACCAGTTCCAGATTTTGGTTTTTGTTCGGTTTCAAAACATGCTCACAGTGCAAGGGAAGGTTTCAACGGGTCTGAATGATATTGAAGATATATGGTGAGTTATTTCGAAGAGGAGATGAAAGAGTGCAGAGAAAATGCAGAGAAGATGGAAGATCAGAATTCGAGAGGAAGATGATGATTGCATGTAAGGAAGAGAAGTGTTTTTCAGAGAAATCATTTTTCTCTCCTCGTCAAACGGTTGAGCAGTTTACACACTGCCACCTGGTTTTCCACTACAGCTTTTAGAAGCTTCCAAGATGACATATGGCATTCAGTGCATTCTGAGAGTAAGTGAGTGGATTTTTGACGTGGCAAGGTGCAGTAAAAATGTGATCAGAGAATGGATTAGTGTGCATTAGTTTTAGGTTCTCACATTAACCAATTTAGATACTATTTATAATATATATAAAAGTAAATGATTTTATCAAAAATATTTTTATAATTATATATTAAATATTGTTAGAAAAATACCTTGTATTGTAACAAAGAATAATTTATAGATTTAAACAAATGTCTACTAAGAGAATACTTATTTTTTAAAATATATTTAACATATTAAGAAATAAAAACTTAATATTAGTTAATAATTTAAGATATAAATATAGTGTAATAAATTATTACTGCTTGGGTGAAGCGGTGGAGGTTCTTAGATCTATTTAAAATTCAATAAGGAAAAAGAAAATTTGTTAGAAACATTATTTTATAGAGAGGAACAAGGAGGAGTGTATAGAAGAGAAAGAAGATTGGGGTTGAGTTGAGGATTAGGGTTAGGGTTTGATCGCACGCAATGGCTGGCACCGGCATCCACCCATACCATCAGCAATGGCCCCCAGCGGCCGCCGCTCCTCCTCCGCCACCTCCAGCGGCCGCAGCCGCTCCTCCTCACGCCGGCGACGAGGTTCGAACGATATTCATAACCGGTCTTCCCGAGGACGTGAAAGAGAGGGAACTTCAGAATCTGCTGAGATGGTTACCCGGCTTTGAAGCTTCTCAGTTGAATTTTAAAGCGGAAAAGCCAATGGGTTTCGCTCTGTTCACAGCTCCGCACCAAGCACTCGCGGCCAAAGATATTCTCCAAGACATGCTCTTCGATCCTGACACCAAGTCCGTCCTCCACACTGAGATGGCCAAAAAGAATCTCTTCGTGAAAAGGGGTGAGCTTCTTTTAAGTTTCAATCTGTAGCTGTATCTAAAATCGAAACCTTTGCTTGCTTCGCATTTGCTAACTCTAATTTTTCGTGTTAATGACCCCCTTTTATTGGTTGAATTGAATGCACGGCATTCATTGTTGCATTGTAGGAATTGGAGCTGATGCTGGTGCTTTTGATCAAAGTAAACGATTAAGAACGGCTGGGGATTATACACATACTGCTTATACATCTCCATCCCCTTTTCATCCTCCCCCGCCACCTGTTTGGGGGCCACATGGGTAAGCGCAGCCGATATATTTGACACCCACTCCAAGAAAATTAAGAAATTTTTATCTCAACGTAATTAGTTTGCAATTGCATTGATTTTACTTATTTCAATGTTTTTGCTCTTAGTTTGTGACAGTTTTTCTATGGTCCAGATACATGGCTCCACCACCACCTCCTCCATATGATCCATATGCGGGCTATCCGGTTGCACCTGTACCAATGCCTACTCCTGCTCCCATAGCAGCGCCTAGTAGTTATGTTCCAGTTCAGGTGAGAGTGGCTGAAAATGTGAATGTTGCTTTAATGTATGTTTGGAACTGCCTCAGGAAATATTGATTTCCCCTCAGTCTATCTGTTAACTCTCCCCATAGTAGAACCTTCTGCATGAAAATCTAACTTGATGTGAATTTATTCTTTGCAAATGTGTTCTTAGTCAATGACTATATCATCGCTCCATGTCCCACATTGGTCAACTCATTTTAAACGGGGAACATGGGTTAACACATTTAGTTTCACTTGATTTCCCCTTCAATGGTCACTCCATGTCTTGCAATGTTTAGCTCATATTTTAAAAGGGGATATGGGTTTAGTGCATTTATCACTCCTTGTCTTGTAATCTTCAGCACATGTTTTAAAAGGAAGGTTTTTGAATCCTGGTTTACTCATTCTATATGATAATATGAATATGACACTTGCTCATTGTAAATCTCTTTGGGTCACAAAGGACCTGATCTCTGCTCTGGATAATTTATTTCGCATCATTAATTTAACAAATGGTGAATTTATTCACATAGTACTGTGCTCATGACATGCTGAACAGACATTTAAGAGTTTTGTATTTTATTTCCGAATGGGTATAGGTGGGGAGACATTAGCTATGAGTTGACTGGATAAATTGTTGAATGTAGACCTAACTGGTATTCGGTGTACATATTATGATGATCACTATCCCTATTTTAGCTATGGTTATTAACAAGGATAACAATGCATTGAAAAAATGTGGACCCTTCAACTCATACCAATGAACAAATGGTGAATTTATGCACATAGTACTGTGCTCATGACATGCTGAACAGACATTTAAGAGTTTTGTATTTTATTTCCGAATGGGTATAGGTGGGGAGACATTAGCTATGAGTTGACTGGATAAATTGTTGAATGTAGACCTAACTGGTATTCGGTGTACATATTATGATGATCACTATCCCTATTTTAGCTATGGTTATTAACAAGGATAACAATGCATTGAAAAAATGTGGACCCTTAAACTCATACCAATGAACAAATGATGAATTTATGCACATAGTACTCTGTGCTCATGACATGCTGAACAGACATTTAAGAGTTTGGTATTTTATTTCCGAATGGGTATAGGTGGAGAGACATTAGCTATGAGTTGACTGGATAAATTGTTGAATGTAGACCTAACTGGTATTCGGTTTACATATTATGATGATCACTATCCCTATTTTAGCTATGGTTATTGACAAGGATAATAATGCATTGAAAAAATGTGGACCCTTCAACTCATACCAATGAAGTATCCAAAAGCATTGGTATCAGATATGTGAAACGAATAAAAGTACTGGTCTACATAGGTTTCAATACTTCATCCATTTGTCTAGGTGAAGTACCCTACAATATCATATACAAATATGTGAAGCAAATTGAAGTGCTGGTGCTTTATAGATCACAATTATAAATCTCTAAGAATGACTGTACATTAATTACTCATGTCAGTGTAAGAACACAAAGGGTTTTTTCAATTTTACATATAATATCTTGAGTAATCTTCTGGCTGGAAAAAATCCAAGGTGCTTTTTAGTTGAGTTCTTATATTGCTTTTTTTTTTCTTTGCCAAGTTATCTGATTTTTTTGGTGTTTGATTTATTGAAACTTTATGTTTTCTGATTTAGATTTGGTTATACACAATGAATGATATAGTGTGTTACTATCTTTAACTTTATTATTTTGAATAGAACACAAAAGATAACCCTCCTTGCAACACCCTGTTTATTGGGAACTTGGGAGAGAACATAAATGAGGAAGAAGTAAGGGGCCTTTTCAGTGTGTAAGTACATTTAGCCCTTGACTACTGGTTCTTTTGTTCAGTTTACATTGCATTTTTCTATCCCAAAAGACTCGGAACATTATTTGGATCAACTTTGTGTTGCAGACAACCTGGTTTTAAGCAAATGAAGATTTTGAGACAGGAGAGGCATACAGTTTGCTTCATTGAGTTTGAAGTCAGTGATCTTTCAATAAACTTTTGTCTAACTTGCTAATTGGTGAATATTTGTGCTTTGCTTCTGGTGAATTTTCCTTGGTTTGACATTCCATGACCTATCGCAGGACGTGAATAGTGCTACCAATGTGCACCATAACCTGCAGGGTGCTGTTATCCCAAGTTCTGGCTCCGTTGGCATGCGGATACAATATCCTTTTCTATATTGTCAAGCACCCTGATATTTTCTTTCTGATCCTCTTCCCCTGTTCACTTTTTAAAAGCTGACTGTACCTCTGGGGTTGTACCTCTGGAGACTACGGAAGACATTTTTACTAAAATGTTTGCATTTGTAACATCATACCACAAATTTGTTTTTTTTTTCTCTTTAATGTGCCTGTGCATCAATGATACTAGAACCTTGGATTTCTTGCAATTCAACTACTTTTTAAGGGTTTAATTGTTTTGCAGTCTGATCTAACATGAATACTGTTGCATGTGTTAGTGCTTTATAGCTCAAAATCATATAGTAAATCTTATTATTCGGGCTTCATATGTTTTCAGTGTTGATTTTTTTTTCTGTCATCCATTATCTCTTAAGCTGGATTCAAAAGTTCTTATCCTTGGCATTCAGTTTGGTACAAACTCGGTTGTGATTCTGTTATATGCAGGGAATTTTTTTGGTGTTTTTCTTGACTTCTCAGTAGATATTCAAAAAATCCATTTGGAAAAAGGAAAGATAATATTCCTATTGCTGTTCCCACTGCTAATGGAGCTCCACCAACAATGACTTATCAGTAGCTTGAAGGGGATGTAATCTGTTCTTTATGCTCCAACAAATATTACCACATAATAGGATGCATCTTGCTGCTGTCACATGCATCCATTGATCATCAAGTCATCGCCATTAGCATCCTTGCTCATGTGAATGAATGCACAGTGGCATCATATACATACATTTGGCTATGTTATACTAATCGGACATGCATTTCTTGGCAACATGTGTTGGTTCCCAGATTACTTTTGTAGGCTTAGATGGTATTATCACCTGTAGAATTGATGCATGGGTCTAAATTTTGTTTAAATTGTGTGCTTTATGGTCATATATACATTCTGTGTACATTGGCATTAGGAATGCTTATTCAAACAAGCTTTTGGCTTCTATTTTCTAACTTTAGGTTCATCTGGTGCTTATTTGACATGACATATTGTGCTGATACTTTTATTACATATCACGACCTGGCTAGGATCTGGAGAAATAAGGATGTCATAGCAATGGTCATGCTACCCTTCCCACTATCATATTACCATTTTCATTACACCATATTTAACATTTTCCCCATTCAATCCGTCATTCATGACTCCATTTAATCAGAGCATTGGTGTTAATGCTTTGATATTGAAGCTATTGAGACCTATTTAAAGGAAATCCGCGGAGTTATATATTGTCTGATTTATACAGGATTTCAATAAGAAAAAATAATGGGAGATCCATTACTGCTGCTGTCATATCATTGCAGGTAAACTTTGTTGGCTTTGGTGAACTACAATCAAATTAGGTTGCAACTTCTGTCGATTATCAATCAAGTGAAGCCACCCCCTTTGAGTTATATTCATTAAACAGTTGACTGACTTATTTTGTCCACTACATGCTAATTCTTTGCTAGTTTTCAAAATCTATTATTGTAGCAAAAGTTTAATTTGTGTAACAGAAGAAACTGATAGCAAGAATAAATCCCGAGGAAAATGGAGTAATGGGTGTAGAATTCTCACCCTACTACTGGGTTCATTATTTTTTATGAACAGTGGTCCAAGTTTTGCAATGAAAATTGCAACTTCGGAGTTGAGTATCAAACTAGACACATCAATTGTTGTACTAAATTCAATTCTACCCAACACTGATGCATCAGAGCGCTGGGTGCTTTTGTTAGAACTAAAGCCAACAATTCACCGTTATTAATGGGCATTTTTCCGCTGACTACATTTGCAGTATTTTCCAGAGGAATGAAATGACATTTTAGCAGCTTTATCAAGTGTTTTACTTGTGCATTTCCAATACTGAATGTGTAAATAAAATTCAATTCCACGTGTAATGAAGCTTTGGTTTGCATATAGTTAATTTAATTATTTCATAAATTCAATACAACTACAAATGGCATTCAAAATCGTGCATCATTTAGTTTGGTCTCTACAATTGTAATAACATCCATGCCGGACATCTGATTAAATTAAAATAACTTGAATTGATTCTTTACTAAATTCTTCATTGCTTTATTTTTGTAATGGTTTTGCAAAACTATATTACTTAAATAAATTTCATTGTAATAAATCGATGATGTGTAACTTTTATTTTATTAGATGTTTTACAATTTTAAGTGCTTAAATAATCATCCAATCTGTCAACTTGAGAATCAGTGTCATGGAGCAAGTAAAATCTAAAGAATAAAAGGTATGCAAAAATTGAAGTACACTTATTTGAAAAGAATAATGTTTGAGAATGCGAACAAAATAATCAAGTCAACATTTACAAACCAACAGGCAAATTGACAAGATGAAAAAATATTGGCAAACACCTGGCTATGGAAAACTTAATCTACAGAAATGCAGGGTTATTCCCCCCAATAAATTCAGTAAGATGATTGCTGCGTAGGGAGATGAGGAGCAATGACGAGATAGATCTCCATAGAGTACAAAAATCTGCTTACCAATTTCACGAATGACTTAATTTACAAGGATGCAACTATGCCTCACGAACTATTATGCGATCTCACAGATGAAATTGACTGAGCAGAGACCGATGCTGTAGGGCTGCTAAGGTCTCTCTCCCCGTTTATTTCTTTTGGCTTTCCACTAAGTCTCTCCATTGCATCTTGACATATGTCGTTAAACCATTCGTCTTCTGGCAGTTCTCTGGCAAAATAATATATATTAACATAAATTCCTTTTAAATCAAAATTTTATATGAAAAGACATTTGCAGACACATTTTCCTTCATGTTAAGATAGTATGTTGATGGTGACAACATACCTGTATGGATCCATTCCTGTTGCAGAAAATGCAGACATCGCTTTTGTTATAATCTCATTGACAATTCGTTGCAAATTTCTTGACAAATACCGACCGTGCGAGGCAAAACATACGACAAACTTCATATCCAAATAGAACTGCACAACGTGATAAAAAAATTATGTGGCCACAGTAAACTTTTCTGTTCACGAGGTTCAACCATGTAAGTTTGTATCCATTGATTTTTTCGCGTCGGCAAATCATCACAACAAATGTTTAGGCATTCAACAACGTCAATGTTGTCAATTTAATTTTTCAATAATAGAGTAGAGAGCATGGAAAATTTTCTTGAGGGGGAGGAATAGTTATTTTCAATGTGTTCTTCAATAATGGAGATGAAAGTATGACCAGAATCCAAGTGATTAGCATTGTTAAAATGGTTTCTCCATGTTTTTGATAATAGCACAGACTAATTGATATCTGTCACTTGTATAAACGAACAAATATGCATCAAATGAAAAATAATCAGTAATTATTTAGGCTCATAATGTATTTATTTTCGCGTCTTCCAATTTGTTTTGGATTATTTCTACACTTACTTTCAATTAGTTATTCAAGTATGATTCAAATAAATTAGAAAGTATTTATTATAAACTAAATTAAAATTTGGTCCCCCTTTAATTTTTTATCCACAATTTTGGCTTCACTTTTTTCTCCACGATTTTGGTTTTCCAATTTCATAAAATTGGACACTTTGGTTCGTTCCACATTTCTGCTTATGTTTATCTCTACTTTTTAAATTTTAATTAATTAAATTATCTTTTGATGGTTCTTTGAATGGATGTCTGGTTTAAGGTTCAACAGGATCAAAATAAAAGAAATATATCCAAAATGGATGTTTAGACTACAATTGCTGATTTTATTTTTTTTAAATAGATCAAAGTTGCGAAAAAAAATAGGAGTACCGAAATCGTGGATCAGGAATTAAATAGAGACCACAATTGCAATTTAGTCTTCATTATTTAAAGTTTTTTGCAGCACTGTTTGTTAGAAAAGGCCAGACTTTGATCTATATAAAGTAATAGAAGACTTGAATCGCACATATTTATCCTAAATAAACCTCTCCTATTTAAATTGCATTTGAAGGCATCAATTTTTTGTCTGTTCTGGCAGGTAACCAAAACAAAAGAAATCTATATGGTATTATAATAAAAAAACTTCAATATCATACCTGTTGAAGACCAAGGGGACCTAACGGCCTGGGCCCTTCCTCAATATCATCCCAAAAGCTCTGGTCTTCTGAAAGCCACAACATAACAGTTTCTGTAAGTCTCATCAAGAGCAGCGTAGCAAATCTTTCCCTCCCTACAAACATATCTGCTGCTATAATGGCCATTCGGTTTAGTTTTACAAAAAGCTCCTGAACAATAAAATAATAGCCTCATCAGATACTTGAATAATATTTGTAGTATAACTCGGTAATGAAGTTAGAAGATAATTTGTAATGACTTTAGCATAAGAGAAAAGATAATTCCTATAGCAAAAGAAAAAAAAAACATTCAAAAAATCCAACGTGTATCAAACGAGTTATAAAGAATAACGGCTCTGTAATCCAAATCCAATGTAGAACAAGGCCATACAAGATATATTCGTTATAGAAATTCAATGGAGGAAAGGAAATCAATAAGAACTCCGCTTGAAAATTAAATTCACATACAGGTAATATATAGGAAGATATAAAATAATCATGTCGTCTTGGGAAAATAGGAGGTTAAATGTTTCAGTGTTCTCAGTTTACACACACACATACTGATTTATATACACTGTAAGTGTAGACATTTTTTTACACACTGCATCCGATGGAAATTCATCTTACTGCCGCATCATGTCAATAAATAGCAATCTGTCCCTTTAAAGTGAATATTAGGTACACAAATATGATTTGTTGGGCATGAATGGTAACATCAACATTTGATTTTTTTCATAGATGAATTTTATTTACATTACCCTCTGAGTGAACTGCTCAATTTACAGGAACCAGATCCAATGAGTAAGATGATGTGAAAGTAAAGTGAATTCCTATGCGATGCTAGTGTAAACAAACTCACTAATATTGCATGTGTCAGAGAGGACTACGACAAATTCGATCTTTAAAATATAGAAGATAGAGATAGATATGCTGCTAGCGCCTCAAGCTTGATCATGATGTACATAAACAACATATATAGTATGATTTCTTTCGTGATTATAAAGTTGATGTGTGTGTAAGAAATGGCACAATGTTTAATCCCTTTTTGGTAGGCAGAAGGAGACATTTAACCACAAAAAGGAACACAAACAAAACAGTGAGTTCATATATTAGGACTAAGAACTTCCTTAGTCAGCCAGCTAATTAAGGTTAATACTCAATAGCAACAGACACTTCAAGAAAATTATTTCGCTCAGTACCATGATTAATTAGCTATTTCAGAATGCATACTTAGATTTCAAATAAACGAACACTTGGACATGGGACAACACATTAAAAGAATCAGAATGGAGCTTCATGTCGTAAGCAATAATCCACACGCCTGTCCTCCAGGTTTTTCCACCAAGAGATATTACACAAAACACACATGCAGCAAACCATGGGAAATAGAAAAAAAAATTCAAAGAGAAAAACTTAGTAATACACTAATTTGTAGACATTATTATTAGCTGAGATTCAATGAAAGTCATAAATTTTGTAGATCCTATTCATATTCATTTAATGAGTTCCACTTTTCATTTTGTAATTACTAATAAATTTCAAGCAATAACAGTGTCATTAGGACTCCTCAATTTGTAATTCACGTTTCCGAATAATGAGGCAGATAAGAAAATCTGTAGAAAAATATTTCACTAAAGAATTTCCAAAATACCTGAAAAATGAAAGATGGAAGCCATTCAATTTCTTCAGCATTTCCATCCATATTTATATACATGTCAGCAGTAAGATGACTATCACCTTCCTCAGTAAAAATTAGGTCCAGTGCATGTTGACGACAGAATGTATCTTTTAATCTGTCCACTGAACCAACAAGTCTTCTCCTCCATTCTCTTTGTTCAGGATGACGATTTTGTCTTTCTGAGGTTCTTCTTCGATTGTCATCATTGTAGGAAGCTTGATTTATGGGGGAAAGCTTCATAGCTGCACGTGGAAGTAGTTCATCAGCTAGTAATGAGGCATTTGCTAGCAATGCAATTTGCTGATCCTCAGTCTCAGCCATGCGTACAATTTTGTTTCCAGGCTCTTCAAAGCTCGCCTCTTCCTCCATCGATCCTGGTAATGCTTTTATGAGCGTGTTCACATAGGAGTTAAATACTTGAAACAATCCCTCCAGGGCTTGGCCTCCCAACTGCATGCTAAGCAGTGGTCCTACATCCTCAAAGAAGTCCTGTATACAGAACATCCAGCATGAAGTGAAGTAACAAAATAAATCGATTAAACCAAACAGGAAACATATATAGAACTTGGTATAAATCTAAAAAAGATTAAAATGTGCAGATGAGTATGTGTTCTGTACGAAGGCAGTTATTTCTTCAGTAAGAAGAACTACAGGAAACAGAAGATTCAACAGCACAAGACTAAGAAAATTGTAAGTATATTCACTTAAGGAATCGAAATAACAAATATTTTGTACACTTAGTTTTTGAACATCTAATCCCACTGTCCCAACCAATGCAACATCTCTGTTCAGTACTTCAGTCTAACAAGTCAAAACTGAAATTCTCACCTGGACCATCAAATTAAAGCGATGGGCACTGCTTGTAAGTTTATGTTGAAATGCTGTTGTATTACTAATGGATATACTTGAAGGCCTACTACTCTGACGACTAGCTGTAGGAGGGTATGTAAGCACCCAATCATCAGCCGCAGCCAAAGCAGCAGTACTCTCTTGAATTCGTTTCAAATTAGCATCGAGTGCTTGCTCAACACTAGGCCTAAAAAGTTTCAACAGCACGGGACAGAGGGCTAGACCACGAGCTTCCAACAATGAGCAATGACCCAACGCTATTTGGACACACTCTGCAGCAGCTCTTAAACCTCCTGCAGCTGCTGATGAAGCTAATGCATGCCTTTTCACCAGAAGAGCAAAGGCCTCTGTTTGCTTTGTAGCCCACATGACAAGTTCCGAAGTATAAGCAGGCTCCTCACCAAAAATAGCCAAAGAATCACTGGCAGCTTGAGCAACTGCAGAGAATACCAATTGGGCTAGAGCAGCAGTATATGCTCCACCATATGAGGTGCTTGATGGTCGAAGACTTTGCATATTATATTGATACCGCTGTTGATGGGCATTAAGTAGCAAGCTGTGGGCATTGGGACCATCTCCAAGTCTTTTAAGGGCGGAAACTGATGCACGTAGCTCAGCACCACGTGTGGAGGGCTGACAAGCAGCTTCAGTTAGCTGATCGGCTAGCTTTTGTCTACGTTCAGCAATGGAATTCTGTAGAGACAAAAGTATAGACGGGGTGATAGATTTCATCTCTTTAGCCTCAGAAACTACACGTTCTCCTTCATCGAGAGCAGCCAAAGCCTCTTCCACTCGCCTTTCAGCCAAGAGAACATCCAAAAGATCAGGAAACTCTACCAACCATTTGTCTAGGTCTGATATTTCCTTATCTTCAGAATCTGATGTAGCATTTGAAGAAAAACCATCAGAATTCGAAATTGATAATGCTTCGATGTGAACTCCTTCAGCTAAACCATGTATCAAGGCAGCTTGTGTCGAGAGCAGGTTTCTAATAGATGAAAGCTCCCCCTCCAAATCTGATATCTCCTTAGATGTTCTGTAATATTAATATTGCTAAGATTCAAAATATGACCCACAACATATCAGCTAAGTAACATTAGCTAAAACACATTGCAGCAGCTACTTTTATAGGTCCAAACATAGAAGGGATAAAGTATATTAAAAAGAAGAGTAAAGTAAAAACTCTAATGTACCTTCTATTTTGCATTTCTTCCACAAAACTACCTCTAATTCTAGAACATACACAAAATCCCTCCTATTTTTAAAATATGTTACGTTTAAACCCACAGTTATTATTTGCACTTTGATATCCCGATGATAGATTTTGTCACATACAAACCTCTTAGTTAAACACTACATAAAATCCCTTCCATTTCTTAAATACATTACAATAAAATTCCAGCATATTATAGTAAAATTTAAAATATTAAATCCTTAAAAGACAGGTTTTACAATATTATTAGAGTAACACATAAAAATAAACAGTAAAATAAATTATGATTTCATATTCAAAATAAAATCTTCATTTTTTTCTAACAAAATTCTATTAAAAGCCTAGTCACAAGAATAATTAATAGGATCCAATTAAACTATTGATTTAAAATTGTTCGTTAAAGAATTGAATAATAGAATTTTCATTACTTCGTTATGTTTTTTTTATTGCAATAATTTTGAAATAATTCTTGTCATTGATGATTTTTGTTTTTAATAACATTATTAAAAAAAATCATTTACTTTAATCATTCCAATGTTATCTTAACATTTTTGTATCTTTAAATATTAATAATTTAAAATTTTTATTATTGTATAGGTATTTGATTGTAATGTATATAAAATACAGGGGTGTTTGTGTAAAGTTTAAGAAATAGACTGGACAACGGATTTTGTGTAATGTCAAAATCTGTAAAAATAATATTTATCTCAATTTAATTTAAAAAGAAAAGGTTTTGTGTTTGCCTATATCAATTTATAAACTAGGAGGGGGTTTGCGGAAGTTTTTTTTAAGATAAGTGCTTTGGTTTATGAAACGTAAAATAGAAGGGAGATTGGAGTAATTTAGCAAAAAAAAAAGGTACATGAACAACTCTCTCCCCAACCAACACACCCAAACATTCAAGGAGGGAGATATTTCTCACAAACAAAATAAGAATGACCAATGTCAGATGCTAAACACCATTTTTCCAATGATATGCTGATATAATATTTATTTGACATCACATGATGTTACAAATAAAATATTAGGACATTTTTATAATTTTTAAAGCACCATAAGATTTACACAGATTGCGTACAAACCACTGAAACCAGAATTTTCAAAACCAAACCAATTAAATTGGTAAGCAGTCCGGACAGACTTCTAAATCGAAGAATGAGAACCCCTCAAAACCATTAAAACAATGCAACCTGATTGTAGTCTGACTGGCCAAATTGGTTGAAAGATCATTTTTATTCCTCTACCACTCAAAATACTTCAGTTATGAGAGAAATAAAGGCAGAACTAGGGTGTGGTAGATGACTGTTTATTAAACACTAAAGCATTGGTGTTTATTAGTAAGTGATTTTGTTTATATAGATTATCAAGGTTTGTATGCATGCTTTGTGCAAATCTCAGTATATCAGAGGGAAATTTCAATTACAGATAGTTTAAATGGCCCAATGAATTTAGGGGCTGAAGCCACAAGTTTTACATGTGGTTGGATTTGAGCAAAAATGAAGGAGAAAAAATCCTCCACAGCAACATTACTACTGCGTGAGATCTTAATCCTTCAATAAATTTTATTAATATTTCTTATATAAATTTGAGGTTTGAAATAATAAACATTGAAGACATGATACTTCATCATGTTAAGTTTTTTCCCCAATTAACTACCTCACCGTTCCCAAACTCCCAAACAAGAATTTTCAAAATTTTCTTTTTTCTTTTTATTTTATTTCTCATCATCCATTGCCTGAATAATTGTTTGTGTAGTTAATTGTCAATAATGTTGGACCGGTTTGCCTGTAATTATCTTTTTTTTTTAAAAAATGTGCCTTTTAAAATAAGCAGATTTATGTTTTTTTTTTTTTGTGTTTGTCTGATATTCTTATCTTAAAAATAAACAGTTTTCCGCTTTTCTTAATAAGCAAATCTTATACTGCTTCTTGAATAACTTAACTTTTCAAAAACATTTATTTTATGTTTAAACAAACTAACCCTCATATACAATGATTTTCAAGAAACAGCTGCATGTGACGATTATGCAGTTCAGAAAGACCCACTGCCTCTTTCTCTTTCTATCCACATTAACTTACTATAGTATCATTACTCAATTATACTGAATTAGAGATATATTTTAGTTTCTATAACAACATTTGTATACTTAAGTATTTAATATATGTATGCTAACATTGTTTACAAGTCTAACAAAATTTTAGTGCGATTTCAGCACCTTGAATCTCTTTCTTTATTAGTAAAAAGGACCAACTCAGTTTTCAAAATATTGATACAAACTGGCACAACTAACCGTATGAAGGCTGCATAGTTAGCATAGACACTTCGACGCATCTCCTCAGCAGATGCCTTCTTCAAGTCCACCAAATATGAGCACAATTGTTTAATTTCCTGAGGAACAAAGTAGCATTACTTAGAGCATATTTGGAACATCTGAAATCTTAGATTACAGCTGTTTTTTTTCAGAAAAAATGTTTGTGAATAAGCTGTGTTTAGGAAAGTAACTTAAATTTGAAAGAAAATCTGGAGAAATAAATTGTTCTTTTAACTTGAAAATCTGAAAGTTACATCATTTTTCAACTGTTCCATTTTTCCAGCATCATACACTCTTTTTTATATGTCAAAACTGTTTTTTTTTCATCTAAACGAACTTAATTATCATATAATCATTTTTCAACAAACTTGTAAAAACATAGAACATTCTGATTATAACCAATAATACATATAATCGATTATTATAATAATATAATTTTACAGTTGTCCCAAGCACACCCTTAATGTGAAGGTCAAGAAAAATTTTCTCTACCTGGTGGGAACTAGACGGATCCAACAAAAGGTTTCAGCACTACATATGACTAAAGCCCTGTTTGGATAAATTTTTTCCTTAAGTCTTCATAGGAGAAGAAAGTAAGAAAAATAAATCAAATAAGTTTCTCCGGCAGCTAAAACTAGCTTAAGCAGAAGCTAATTTGTAGAAGATCTCTTGTATTAGCTTCTCCAAAATATTCTTTTTAACTTGTATAAGCTAATCTCAGGATAAGGAGAAACTTTATTCATTTTTCTACTTATTTTCTTCTCCTTCTAGTGCTTATGGAGTAGTTTGTCCAACTCTAATTGAGAAAAAATTATGCCTAAGTGGCTATCACTACATGTTGAAAGCTATTTCACAACTACATGAGCCTTAAATAGATGTTGAAGGAGACATGTATCTAAAAGCCATATAGAGCACCGATTTCAGCCAGTAAAAGGAGTCAATTACAAGTAAAAGCTATCTCAAACTGTAAAATTTATGAATAACAGGATTGACAAAGGATATCACATGTTGCCAAGGTGTGCCACATGATACTTCAATCTAAAATAAAGCTTGTCCTCCCTTGACTTCCTAGCTTTAAGGAGTGGCTTTATTTTGAATTAAAAATCAACTTAGATTTTATTGTCAAGAGAACATTAAAAGAAATGAAGCATGCAACGATGAACTTCATATCTATAAGTCTAACCAGTTGAATGATCTTCATAGGCCTCAGCACAAGAATCATTTAGGTATAGCTAATAATTAAGCTTCTATTATTGAGATAACAATAAATACTCAATTAGAGTAACATGACAGACAAGAAAAAGAAAGAGAAATCATTCACCAAATTTTCACTGTAAATTACTGTCGTTTGTTTATGCTGTGGCAGAACAATGCATCTCCCCGTGAGGAGAAATTTAGCAAGCATCTATAAACTTGCGAATATAGATTTATAATTTAAACTGAGTTTTGAAAAAACGAGGTACTACGAACGAACGCAATTGAAAAGGTTTGGAGCGGATCACTGAATATGCAACTAATAGGAAACGGTAAAGTGGAAAACGAAATGAACCTTATCGTTGAGCGAGCAATTGGACTGCACATAGGACTCTGCGTCGAATTTTTCAGTCTTGAAGGGATTGAGACCTTCTTCAAGCTTAGGTCCATTTTCCTTCGCACTCGCCACCGAACTTCTCGACCGAGATGTCTTCGCCGTCGCCATATCCACAGATTCCAACGGAGACGAGATCACCAACCACCGAACTTTAGGGTTCAAATTCAAACACTGGAATCCAAAACGTAGATCGATCTACGCACGAATAAGAGATAAGCTCACTCAGCAGCACAGAGAAGAAAAAGAAAAGGAGAAGACTCTGTTTCCGTTTCGCTTCAATTTCAATTTCAATTTCTCTGATCCCTAACAACGCGGTGAAGGCAAGAGTTAAGATTGCCCCGGAGAGAGAAGAGAGGAGAAGATTGCCAGCACACCACGCCTTATTTTTCTTTTCTTCTCTCAAAATAAAATAAATAAATAAAATAATGTGCTTTTTGCTCTAACTTCTCCAACTAATAATAACTTGCTTCTCCATATACACTTTCCTTTTTGTTTGTTTACCTGTAATTGATTTACCCTTTACACCAAAAAGTGGATGTTTAAAAAAATCAAATTAATGCCAAATGAAAATATTTGGTGGTAAGATATTCAATTATGGCAGTTTATTATAAGATAAAAAAAAATGTCTATCTAGCATTCATTGAAAAAGGTTGAATTGAGAAAAATAAAATGAAATAATTGATTTATTTTTTTCAAATAGTTAAACTCTATATAAAGAGTCACAATTGACAATGCAATTATAATTACTCAGATTTCAGTTAAAACAAGTACACACAAACTTCATGTCTTAAAGTACATCATTACTAAGGCCTTAGATAAGAGGCAACATGAGGTTCATATATTAGGATGTAGCATCATTAACCAGTTATTAGTTTGTTTGTTTTTTCTATAGGAGAGTTTTAATAGTTTGGAATGATTTTTTTTATCTGAACTATTTTTAAAGATATAATAAAATCCAGAAATTATTTTATAATTTAAACATTTGTTGGGTATAAAATTAGGGTGGAATTATTGTGTACTATTTTTCCATGGGAAGAACGAGGAAGGAGTCAAATCTCAGGATAAAGTTCAACTTTAACATGTAATTTTGTTTTTTATTTATCCCTTTTTTTCTAATATGGAATAGGTCTCACTTGGTACAAAATATAGAAGGATAAAGCACATGCACGAGACTACCTAAAAAAGCAGCAAACAGCATAGCATAATAATCAATATTAGCCATTAGCTGGCTATTTGAACAACTCTTTTAATTTATACATATTTCCTTATCTTCTACATTTCACAACTTCTCTACATATTTTATCATAAATATATCATGGTGTGTACTTTAATGATAGTGTTACTGATTGAAAAGCTAATAAATAAATTTTTCATGAACACCTGTTAATGTACCTTAATGTAGAAAATTAAGAAAATAACTTTGAATTGCATTTTCACATTTTGAGAACAAGTTTACACTTAGAATGCTTCTTGTCCATTTTCCATTATCCTTCTTCGTGAAGTGTTTGTTTTGACGGAATAGATTGAAAAACGACATTAGCACTTGCATTATA